TGACGATGATGACAACAATGGAGACGATGATAATAATAATAAAAAAAATAGCGTCGTTAAAATAAGAGACAAAAAATCGATTTATATAGCGCGAAAATCACATACCCATCCGTACATACTCACTCAATAAATCACTCTAAATTTTAAAAAATCACTCTAAATAAAAAGTGAGATTTTATGGGAAGACGGAAGAAAATTTTTGAGATTGGAAACACTGTGAGATTGGAAGGACCTGTGATATCAGAAGCACCTGTGAGATTGGAAGAACTTGTGAGATTGGAAGTACCTGTGGAATCGGAAGGACCTGTGATATCGGAAGGACCCGTGAAACTGGAAGGACCTTAGTACCTGCGAGGTTATATGGTAGATGAGACGAGATCGACCTGCTAGTTAAGGACAGCGCTAGTCAGTCAAGCTTGTAAGCCTATACCATCATAACGGGTCTCTGTCGGCCGCCTCATGATGAATGTCTATTTTTGTTAATTTCGTTGTTTTTATTCATAATTTTTGGGGCATTTGTGTTTTTGGTCGAAGAGGAAGAGGGGTTGGAGGAGGAAGAGAGGGGTGAAGTGGAAGAGGAGAAGGAGGAAGTGGAAGAGGGGGAGGAAGTGGGAGACGAGAAGGAGGAGGAGGAAGAAGAGGAGAAGAAGAAGAAGAGGAGAAGGAGAAAAGAGAACAAGGAAGAAGAGGAGGAGGAAAAAAGAACAAGGAAGAAGAAGAAGAAGAGGGGAGGAGCAGGAGGAAAAAGAAAACAAGGAAGAAGAAGAGTCGGAAGAAATAGAAGATCATGAGGTCTCACCATCGAAATTCTCGCCCCCGACCCCGAACTCAACACTTGTTCGATTCGTCTCTCGAGGTGTCCTTCCTGCTTACTCTCAAAAAGCCTAAAACTTCTGTATAATACCAATTATTTAGATATGGCAAGTAGGAGAGAGGAAAAAAGAGAGAATGGAGAAAGAAAAGAGTAAAGAGAAGACAAAAGAAGAGAGAGAGAACGGGGAAGGAAGGGGAGACAAAGAGATGACGGATTCCAAATGAGACTAAGACACAAGACACCGAATCGGACGCGGTGTTCAGTTCCACAGGATTTGATGCATCGATATCCTTCAATACGATTACAGAAGGATTAAACTGGGAACCATTGGCAGAGTTCCTGCTGAGAGGAGAGGAGAGAGGCGAGAGTGGAGTGGCAGAGGGATAGCGAAGGGAAGAGAGGGCGAGGAAGAAGGGGGAGAGAGGTGAGAAAGGATAAAGTGTCGAGATGTGTGTGTGTGTGTGTGTGTGTGTGTGTGTGAGTGTGTAGAGGGTGAGAGTGGTCGTTGAAAGAGGGAGAAGGGAGAGGTGAGAGTAGACAGTGGGAGAGATAGAAGGAAGAGTATTAAGAGACGAGAGTGTGAGAGGGAAGGTGAAGAAAGGTGAAAGATGTTAAAGGGAGAGGGAAAGCGAATGAGTAGGAAGAGGACAAGAGAAGAGGGGGGAGAGGTTGAGAGTAATCTGTGGGAGAGCGAGAAGGAAGAGGAGTGAAAGGGAAGAGGAGGAGAGGAAGGGAGAAGAAAAGTCATTGGGGATAATGTGAGTGGGAGAGATGGGAGCGGATGAAAATAGGAGGGGACGAGATGGAGAAGGAGAGGAATGTCATTGAGTAGAACAGGAGGGAGAGATAGGAGGGGATAGAAAGGGGGAGGGGGAGATGGAGGAGGAGAGGAAGTGGAGGGAGATGAGGGAAGGGGGAAGGGAGAGATGCGACGGGATAAAAAGGTGGAAGGAAGAAGAGGGAAGGGGAAGGGAGAGATGGGAGGGGATAAAAAGAAGAAAGGAAGAAGAGGGAGGTGGAGAGAGACAAGGGAAGGGGGAAGGGAGATGGAGGGAGGGGGAAGGGAGACGAGGGAAGGGGGAAGGGGGAAGATGGAGAGAGGAGGGGGGAAGAGGATCATGCATTCTATGAGGTCGTTGCTGTTTCTTAATTACGAGGGGCGCATGGCGGTCCTGAGTTCGAACATGTAGTCAATTCATTAGCAAGACCGCGGTCATGTGATCTGTTGTGCTGTGTGCGTGTGCGTGTGTGCGTGTGTGTGTGTGTGGTGTGTGTGTGTGTGTGTGTGTGTGTGTGTGTGTGTGTGTGTGTGTGTGTGTGTGTGTGTGTGTGTGTGTGTGTGTGTGTGTGTGCGTGTGTGTGTGTTTGCGTGTGTGTGCGTGTGTGTGTGTGTGTGTGTGTGTGTGTTTGTGTGTATGTGTAAAGAAAATTTATATTTAGATCTTTTTTGAGATATATTCATCCATATAATTCAGTATCTGGAACACCATTAAAAAGCATTACGCAAGTAGTGGAAAGCGACTCATGTTCCAGACTGTATTCCTACGCTTAAAAAAAAAGTGATTATAGACACACATGAAATTGCAAGAAAGTTGTGTCCACCCTTCAGTGAGAAGGTTCAACCCCTGTTTATACGCCCACACACGTGTACGTATGATTTATCTCCCCCTCCTTTGTCTCTGTCTGTCTGTATATGCCTCTGTCTCTGAGGAGAGAGAGAGAGAGAGAGAGAGAGAGAGAGAGAGAGAGGAGAGAGAGAGAGAGAGAGAGAGAGAGAGAGAGAGAGAGAGAGAGAGAGAGAGAGAGAGAGAAAGAGAAGACAGAGAGAGAGAGAGAGAGGGAGAGGGAGAGGGAGAGAGAGAGAGAGACAGAGAGAGAGAGAGAGAGAGAGAGAGAGAGAGAGAGAAGAGAGAGAGAGAGAGAGAGAGAGAGAGAGAGAGAGAGAGAGAGAGAGAGAGAGAGAGACAGAGGCGAGAGCGAGAGCGAGAGAGAATAAAATATCACACAAAATAATGAAATGGAACGGGCGCCTCAAAGGATTCCCCCAGATGCAGGATGAGGCAATGAGAAGGATATAGAGCGAAAAGGACCCTTAATACCCCCGCGGTCACCTGACTTAACGGTAATTTTTTGCTCCGACTGGCGGCCTTTGTATGCAAAATAGAAAACCAAAGACCATAGAAAACGGGCGGCGGACTTCAGGTGAATCCCGTAGACCTATTTCTTTGAGGAACTAAGAGGATTATTATTTACTTAAGAGATCGTAAGTGTAAAGTGTTGGCCAGGTCGTTTGTTTCCTGTTTCCCGGTCCATTACCTAATTTTGCCTTAACCTAATCCTGTTCCAGTTTAACGTAACCTAACCTGTCCTATCCAATCCTAGACTTAACAAACTTAACCTAACCTGTCCTATCCAATCCTAAACTTTACAAACTTAACCTAACTTAATCCAACTTATCCTAACCTAAACTAATGCTACTTGTCCTATCCTAACCTAAATTAGGTCTTCTTGTCCTATCCTGACCTAAACTAATGCTACTCGTCATATCCTAACCTAACCTAATGCTACTTGTCCTATCTTAAACTAAGCTAATGCCACTTGTCGTATCCTAACTTACACATTCCCAGCCTATTCTATCTCTTCAATCTTCAATCTTAGGATTGTCACCAAGCAATTTAGTCCTACAGGAATCCAATTCATATATCCGACAGATTAAGCATTATTCGACTTCTTTCCGTTGGAGATTGTAAGGTTTTCATAAGATGGATGTTTCGTTAATAATTTTGAGGTGGTTATCAAGTGGAGAATGATAATAAAAAAGTAATTTTCTTTGTATGGGATAACTTGGTAGAAACCCCCCAATGCACAAGCTATTTTTTTCTTGAAAATGAGACAACAGTTCACTAAATCTAGTTTGTGCATTGTTTTTTTTCTACCATAAGATCAAGATTGTTTTTTATGCGTTTGGAGTCGATTCACTTGTTTGTTTGTATTTTGAAGGCATTCTAGGTATAAATCTTTTGTTACTCGCTTAACTGCTGACGAGGGTAGGTCTACCTCTGATCGCCAAATGAATGAGAAAGTTGGCATTAATTATTTGATAAGAAAATGATGGAATCCGTTAATAGACTCATCGACCTGAAGGTATGTCTTGATGTACGTGCATTTTATCATTTACTTGTGTAACTATGAGTATGAGTATGATTAGACTTCATAAATGAAAAGTAATTACTTTGATTAAACAATAGATAGATAAGTGGAATTAATATTACAAAGCTATATGGGAAAAATGAATGAATAGATTGATAGGTAAAACAAATATTGCAAATTAATATGTCTGGACATGTATATATATATATATATGTGTGTGTGTGTGTGTGTGTGTGTGTATGTGTGTGTGTGTGTGTGTGGGTGTGTGTGTGTGTGTGTGTCTACCCTCAGTACACCCACGGAATAACACTAGCGCGTATTCGATAAGATCAGTAACCTTTGCTGACGCGCCACCCGGCTCGAGGCAGACAGATTCCATAACGCTGAACAGTTAAGGGACATTAATATTCAGTATCCTAGATCAGGTTGTCTGATCCCTCGCATGTTTATTTCGTCGGGTCGAAGTGTGTGTGTCATAATGCAGTGGACGTTCTCGAAATTACATGTGGGTAGGCGCAGGTACAGGCCGTCGCTTGGGCATTCGCTGAGGGACTTTTTGCATGAGTTGTGGGCTGGTGGAGGGCCGTTTGGCGTGAACCGTTAGTGGTGTGGTTGTTGCTATTTTTTTTTCTTCTTTTTTGTTATGGTTACTCTTCTCTCTTGTTCTCTACTCTCTTTCTCTCGCTTGCCCCCCCCCCTATCTCTCTACCTCTCGCTCACTGTTACGAAGATAACCCCTTGAATTTAAATAGGTATGAATGACTTTGTCTTCGTAATTTGCTGTAGTTCATAACAGACACCCAAAGTTTAATGACACAGACCAGCGTTCGTATCGTACAATTACGCACTTTCTAAAATGATATTTTCCAAACTGAATAAACTAAATGTATTTTCCGGAAGAATGTTAAAAAGAAAAGTAATATTTCTTTCGTGATAACAAAGCATTGCAATTGAATTATCTTGTAAGTGCACGCAGACAATTTCAGCGGCAACAAATCCTTAAGCAAGTGAACAGAAAAGTAACTTGGCTACTTACGAGACGAGGAACTTTATGGGCCACGCCAGGAGGCCGTATCTCTCGGGCTCGGAGTAGGCGCCGCAGACGGCCAGTTGCGCGCAGCTCCTGGTGTCGATGACGTTGGGGAGCCCCGCTAAGGACTCCGTCACTAGGGTGGTGAGCAAGGACTCCTGGTAGGACGCGTCGTCGCTGAGATCCCTCTTGGACACGCCTCCCTGGGTGGTGGTGTAGATGGACACGGCGAGGCCACCCAGGAGGAAGAGGGCGATGAAGGCGAGGGCGCCGAAGGACTGCAGGTCCATGCCGGCCGCCGACGTGTCTCCGGCGCCGGGTAAGGTGAAGGAGAAGAGCGGGATGGTGAAGGCCACGGAGGTGTTGAAGGCAGCCGACTTGTCGTAGTTCAAGAAAAAGCGCGCCTGCTGCTCGGCCGGCGCGTCGTACAGGTCACGCACGGTGTCCTCCATGTTGGCGGCCTCCGTCATGTCGCCGACCCCCGCCACCAGCACCACCACGGCCACGATCCAGAACATCACGCCTGCGGAGGGCACCGAGGGTTAGGGGGCGAAAGGGGGAGCGTGATGATAGTAATAAGGATAATTATGATGACAATGATGATGAAGATAATGATAATAATAATACTAACGATAATGATAATAACAATAATCATTATAACAAAAATAATGATAATAATAGTAACAATGATGCTGATAATGATAGTGATAATAATGTTGATGATAATGATAATGATAAGGATGATAATGATGATAAACAATGGTTCGAGATAAGGGCTGGGATTTCTTTTGACCTACAGTGCTTTATGACGTGCTTGAAGGTAATAGCATTTTCTTGGCGAGGATTTGCTTCGGACAATTTGTATCCCTTAGTTTTTATTGCTGTTGTTTTCTCTCATCCTCTTATCATAGCATCCAATCCTTAATCTCATCACCAGGAAAAGCACTTCAAGATCTCAAGCAAGACAGCTGAATTTGCAAGAACAAAATAAAATTCCCTTTTCTTCTGAACATATTTAGTGAGGCGTGGGGAGTGGCCATCAGCAATATATATATATTTTTTAAAGCTTCGATGGCTAAAGACAGCAACTAACATATCTAAACACTGTATCAGTTTTAAGCGAGAGCCAGAGGGAAGGTCAAGTTTGTGTAAAATGGCTATAGAAGCTTTTATTTTTTTGTGGGAGGAAATCTCTTTCTTTCTCTCTTTCTTTCTTTTGCTTTCTCTCTCTCTCTCTCTCTCTCTTCTTCTTTCTCTATCTCCTCTCTTCTCTCTTCCTCTCTTCTCCTTCCTTCTCTTCTCCCTTCCTTCTCTTCCTCCTTCTCTCTTCTCCTCTCCCTTCCTTTCTTCTCCTCTCTTATATACAATTTTAAGTGGCAAGGAAGACCCACTACATTATATTGATAAGTGAAACGTCATATCGAATAAGGTTAATGCAAGTGAGAAATTTTGAAATAGGAATTTGCATGTAATATTTCTGCGATTGAGAGATTCAATGCGATAAACCGAACAAGAATATGAGATTTTTTTTTCCTTTTTAGTTTTTCATGTGTATGATAAGGTGATATGCCGTACGATAGAGAAGGAGACTTACCGGGAAATCATGAAATGGAAACAAGAAACAGAGAAATAAAGGACAAATGTGATGATATTGGTGATTATGATATGAAGAAATGATAATGACGAAAGCGATCATAATAGGCCGAGAAGAAGAAAAAAAGAAAAAGAAACAGAAAAAAACACATGTCTTTCTCTGAACATCAGAGACCAGCAACAGTTTTGAATCTCTCGTTTCCTGAGACCCAATAGGCCTATGAATTCGGCCTACAGAGCCAACGAAGCTGAGTGAACCGTATTAAGAGAAGCGGAAGCCCTAAGTCGAGGAAATGTCGGTCAAAATAAGCCGGCCGTGACGCTGCGAAAAATGAATGATGATTGTTGTTTGATCAAGGGTGAATCGGCAGCCATCTTTCTTCCTTCTCCGTTTTCTTTTCTTTCTTTTCCGTTTTCTTTTTTTCTCCGTTTTCTTTTCTTTCTACGTTTTCTTTTCTTTCTTCTAGCTCTCATTATTTCGATTTTTTTGTTCTTTTGCATTTGTTTTGTGTCTTTAAGGGGAGGTGGAAGTGAGGTCTTTTATCATCGTTATTGTTGTTGGTTATGATTAATACTATTATTCTCATTATTATTGTTATTGTCATCATCATTATTTCTATCATTGTTATTAAAATTATTATCATTTTGGTATTGCTGCTGTTTTTTCGTCTTATTATTATTATTATCATCATAATTATCATTATCATTAACCATTATTATAATTATTGTTATTACCATTGTTATTATTATTATCAAGTTATCAATTGTTATATCATTATCATTATTTCGCATCGAAATATTAATAATATATTTGATTTTCCTTTCTTTTTTCACTTATATGTTTATTTATCATAGCACTGTATTGACTTCAATTGCATTACATTATTTTATATCATATCATCACCACCATCACACCTCATATATATATATATAATATATATTTTAGCCTTTTAAATTACACACACACACACACACACACACACACACACACACACACACACACACACACACAACACACACAACACACACACACACACACACACACACACACACGGGAAAAAGGTATATTTTACACATGCAAAAATTATATTGATCTAAAGAAGGAACCAGCTAACCTGATGCCTCATGGATAATGATAATATACATGACGGTGAGTTGATCAAACATTTAATTATCATTATGATTAATACTTATTGTTACGAATCAGCTGAGTTTGAGGAATGGGTTGTTATCAAAATCACTTGTGCTTTCATGATAAAAGGTGATATAACAGTGATACAGTAACAAGATATGATAACAATGAATAGTGCTAAAAGTATATAAATACTTATTGTTACGAATCAGCTGAGTTTGAGGAATGGGTTGTTATCAAAATCACTTGTGCTTTCATGATAAGGAAACATGATAACAGAAGGTGATATAACAGTGAATAGTACTAGAAGTAATGTAAAATGCAATGTAATGGAATCTGAATTTAAAACATATTGGGAAGGTAATGATAGCAGATGAGGTATTTATCTCTCAATCTATCTATATATCTATCTATCTGGCGCAACCTACCTCTCTCTTTCTCTTTCTCAACTCAAACATCATGAAATAAACACAAACAACACAGACATCTAACCACACCCCTACCCCCATTACCCTCCTACCACTTCCATTTCTCAAAAAAAGAGAAAGAAAAGGAACACAAAAGAACCGTAAGATGGCGTTATAAAGTAGAGAGCAACTGAGCGTAAGACCCAAACGCCATCTGTTGGTGGCGAACGGGACTAAAAAGCAGTAGCGCGGAAGCCAAAGGTTTGTGGAACAAGGCGATGGGGACGATATCGAGTACTGACCAAGCATGATTTATGTAATATTCTGGAATATTCGCGGTTTCCGTTCTCATATGACTGTATCCTCTTTTTGATCAAATGGCTCTTAACTCTCCCCCCCCCTTTACCTTTTTGCTAAACCTTGGCTTTCTCCATTTACTTTTATCTTATTTTCTCCATTTATTTTCTCATTGCCCTTTTCATTACCATACTATCCTAGGGTGCTGTAGGTCTTTTGACGTGTAGCACATTTAATAATTAACCCATTAAATCACCCTTTCCTCCAGAACTGTGCAATAAAGTTTAGGTAAAAAAGTCTGTCCAATTGATATATATTTTTTATTGTTTGAACGAAATATCTTTGATATTATCCAGAGGGCTTTTATTTGGGTTTGTTCTACTACTCCTCTTTAATATTGACCTGAAATGAACCTTAAACTATCCTTTTGATATTGACCTGAAATTAATACCGACTTAAAATTAATAATTTCCCATGCAAGATTGTAATCGATAATTCACAAACCCCTCTATGAGTTTTTACCTGATATTTATCAGATAAAAATCAGGTAAGAGTCACCAGAAGTTCTATGACCCTTAATTCAATGACATTTGATGCAAGTCGATCGTCTACAAGTCAGTTTTCTAGACGCTTTTTTACCGACATTTGTAGGCTTTAGAAGAGATTGCTTCAAGATTGTAACTTCTCCGACTCTTGATAAGTTTAAAAATCAGCTAACATGGTTTTCTTTCTGACTTTCTATTCTTTCCTTCTTTCTTAGCTGTATCTTGACCTGCACTGACACCTTTGATGGTATGAATCTCGATTTATTCAGTGTGGCTCTTCATATAGCTTGCAATAATAATAATAATAATGACAATAATAATAATGATAATAACAATAATAATAATAATGATAATGATAATAATAATACCATCGCACACGCCTTCCAATGATGGACCGTTGTACAATTACCTCTACTTCATTACATTGTGAGATCACATTACATTACCCATTCATTGATCTGTTGATATCCCTGGACACATAATCTATGCAATGACCTTTATCATTCCCATAATATTATCTTTGCTAAAAACCTACGGCCTCTTTCTAGCATTAACCATGCTCTAACCGGCGGAATTCCCATAAAATTAGCCATATTTCTTCTTCTGCCAACCCTTATTGCCTACCAACCATGCGGTGTCCTATGGTATTCGAATAACATTGCATAGGAAGGTGTGGGATGTTTTCGTTATGGGGTCGATATGAAAAACAGGAGGAGGGGGAGGAGGAGGAGGAAGAAGAAGGAGAAGAGGAAGAAAAAGAGGAGGAGGAAGAAGAGAGGAGGAAGGAGAAGAAAAAGGAGAAGGAAAGGGGGTGAGGAGAGGAAGGAGAAGAGGAGGAAGATGAATAAGACCAAGAAGGAGAAAAGAAAGGGGAGGAGGAAGAACAGAAGGAGGAGGAAAGAAAGGGAAGGAAGAAGAAGAGGGAGAGGCTGATGATGATGATGAAAAGAAAAGAAGGAAAAACAGTAGAAAAGAGGAAAGAAAGGAGAAGAAGTGGAAGAAGGAGAACGAGTAGGAGGCGGACACTTAAAAAAAGAAGAGAAGTAAAAGAGGAAGAGAAAGTAGCAGAAGAAGAAAAGGAAAAAGGAACAACAAGGAGAAACAACGTCATTGATGATCAGAGTAAACAACTGTGAATAATATTGAATACACAAAAGCAAAAGTTTTGTCCTTGAGAAACGAATAAATGCGAATGTGTCGATTAGCAATAAAATCGAATTAATAGCAATATATGCCTCGTTTATATCTTATCTCCATTTTCTCCCTTCACATTTAATCCAAACATATCCCTTATCCAATCAGCATTCCTACTTTAGCATATCTAATCTATATTCAATTTCCTTCATGTTTAATGCCTATTAAATCCACTCTGGGATAGATAATAATATTATAATCGAGTTGATAAAACATCTGTATTGAACCACCTGAACTACATCATAATTTTAGTTCTTACCGGTGAACAACCTGTTGCTACTGCGTGAGACAGTGATATGTGGTTTGTACGGAATAACATTAGCATAATTTCAAACGGGTGTTTTATCACCTTTCT